ATTTTCTAAAGAAGTTGAAAATCTCCAAAAATGAAAGTTGCTCAACTTTTTAAACTCTACAACTTTGTTTCAAGAAATATTTTCAAATTCTGCCTCCATTTTGAAATTTGAATTTAGGGTGCATTTGAGCATTTGAATCATTTCAAAATTACTTCAAATTTTATATGTAAACTTTAAAAACTTTGTATACCAAAGTTGATCCTAATAACATAAGCTTCAACTTTGCTTTTTGTCACAACCCCAAATTCCAAAAGGATTTGGAATTAGACAAAAGGGACAAAAAAGATTTTTATAATTAGAATTTGAATTCAAATTTGATTTGTTTACCTTTTGACTTAACTTTGATTTTTAACGAGTAACATGGCCCATTAGGGTTATTTGAGTCATTTAACACATGGTCTCACATGATCATATGAATTTTGACTCTTGTGGTCATGATTTTCATTCAGAGTTTTGAATCACATTGTAACAAATAAAATAACAACTTATGAAATAAAGCTTATTTAGTGAATGCATTCAAATTTTTCTACTTTATGAATGATTTGTAATGCATATGATGACATGTCAAATTTTAATGATAGGTCAAAACACCAGAGGTGTTACAGCGTGACGTCACCCTTGTTTGCACAGGTGGTAAAGAGGAAGGTTACCCACGTCCAATCCGCACAGGGGCCATTGCACGTGTCGGCAGGAGCCGGTTGAAGCTAGTATTTCCGGCTCCGTGCGCAAAAAGGGTTATGTGAGAGCGCGTTTCACGCAGATCCAAGCGAGTAGCACTCTGTGTTTTAGCTGTTTGGTTGGTGGAGCAGCAAAACAGCTCCAAGAGCTGCGTTGAGAGCCATACCAAACGAATCCTTCAGCCTGTTCGTTTGTTGGTTTCAGCTAGCCAACAGTGTTTTTCTCTCACAACAAACTAGCACCAGCCAGCCTAAATCAGCTCAGAAACAAACTAGCGAATAGACCGCGTAATTGTTGCAGGTTAGGTAGTAACCTACAAAATTAAATGTATTCATAGATTCAAGGACAACCCGCCTTGCGTCCTAAAATCTAGAACATACAGAAAGGCAACGTGCTAACAACATACAAGTACTACTTAGTTTGACAAGGTTTGTTTCTATACCTAATACTCCCTCCGATTTGTTTTATGAGACGCGCATGTATATCAATATTTAAACTTTAAAATCCTCTGATCATAATTTAGCAAATACTTTTAGTTATTATATACAAACTTGATATAGTTAGATTTGTAATTAAATATATTACTTATTTTTTATAAGTTCTATAAGTATTAACTATATATAATATAAAATAAATAAATAATCAAAGTATAATTTGAGAAACCATGTCATATTAAATTGCGCCTCATAAACTGTGTCATATCAAAGTGTAGTTAAAAGAGTGATTTTTTTCCTTCTGTTTCTCACTCTCCCCCTTCTATTTGTCTCTCATTGCTCTTTCGTCACTCTTTCCTTACTCCTACCGTTCTCGCTCTGATTTTTGGAGCTATAAAATCTTTATTGGCGTCACATGGCTCGTGTTATGACCTAGCCATATGAGCTTGTTCATGCTGTAAGGCATGTGAAGGCGTACGGTTCGTCTTCCACCTTTTTTAAAATTCATAAATTATGCACATAATAGCCACTTATTTTAGTTGAGTCAATCTCCTATCAATTTTCCATGCAGAATCCTTTATTACACTAGCATTATGGGCATTGCAGTTTACAGTATTTGATTTAAGGCTGACCAAGCCTAATTAAATTCAACAAAATAACTAGCTCATTATCGTTGGCACGAGCGTCATGCAACATGTCTTGTTACAGCATACGAGCATGTTTACTAGTAAAAAGACAAATTTTAATAAAAAAGAGAGAAGAAAGAATTAGGACAAAGAAGAATAAAAACAAAAAGAAGCTGACAGGTGGACTCCACATGTCATGTGTCTTATCTCACCTTCAATTGTTTTTGAACTAGATACTCCCTTCGTCCCTTTCTAAGTGTCGTCTAAATTTTTGTGTTACTCAAACATATTTAAATTTAACTAGATTTATAGAAATTTTCAGTAACATTTGTATCTCTAAATAAATATAATAAAAAATATATTCAATAATTAATCTAATGATATTTATTACGCACCATAAAAATTATTAATCTATTGTACATATTTGGTTAAAATTGAGTCCGTTAGACTGGAGAGAGGGAGTATAAGGAGCATATATCTATCGGTAATGCTACGGAATATACGCCCAGAATCTTAAAAAAACGGACGCTTTGCTCTGCGATCGCTGCAGCAACGCGACCGGCCCAACAGGACCATCTACGCTCTCTCCTATATATATCTACTCCATCTACACTGTGACAGCTGACAGAAATCCCCAACTCCTTGCTTTGCTCGTCGCGGCCCACCGCGCCGTCCATCCGCCCCAAGCCACCTCGCGGCGGTGCCCCTATCCCACATCGAGCCGCGCCACGTCTGTCGCCGTGCCGTGCTCCATCCTCCACCGCGCCCACTCCACCACGTCGCGCCATGCCCGGTCCCCGCCCTGCGTGCCGTGCCCCGTCCCTCACCACGTCAAGGTGCTAACGACGCCGCCATTCCCTACCAAGAGGTCGTGGCTGCTGTCGACGTCGGCGTCGCTGCGACGTTCGACCTCAGCTCGCGACACAATAAGATCAGGAGTGGCCAGACCCGGAGCTAGCTTCTCCAGCTGCACCTCGCGCTCCCTTCCTCCCATGATGTTGCAAGCGCGTGTTGTAAGCGTATGTTAAGTGTTTTAGATATTTCATATGCATGTTGCAAGTGTTTCATGTGGACGTTGCAAAAGTAGATCAGGATGTTGCATATGTTGCAATGGCTATACACGTATGTTGCAAACGTCTGTTCCAAATGTTTCAGCTATTTCAAACGGATGTTGCACGTGTTTTATCTGGACGTTGCATATGTTTCACACTTATGTTGCAAGTGTCTCATCCGGATGTAGCATATGTTTTCACACTTTTTTGCATGTATTTCATCTAGATGTTTTCATATATTTTGCAATGGCTACACACGTGTTTCCATCGTGTTTTCAGACGTATTGCAAGTATTTTAACTGTTTTAGACGTATGTTGCAAATGTTTCCTCTAGTTGTTGTAAAAGTAGATCTGGCGCCCGACCTGCTGCAGCTGCTAGGCCCGCCTGCATGCGCGTGGGTGTGGAGGGGGCACGATCAACAAGCGTGGGAAACCGTATGGGCAGGATTGAGATGGAAGCGGACGTGGGGCATAGAGCGGGCACGGGACACGGAGCAGCACGGGACACCATGTGAAGTAGGCGTGCGGCGCGGGCATCCGCACGCGCTGATGCGCCCCCCGGTCTGGACGTCCAGACACTAGCCTTTCCCTGTATCTATGTATGTGTAAATCAAACATGAGACAGAGGCCCGTTTGCTTCGCTGAAAAAACAAGCCGAAACACTGTTCCGACTGATTTGTTGTGAGAGAAAAATAATATTTTGACTGAAAAAACAAGCTGAATAGTACGGATGATAAGACAAACGAACGTGACAGAATTATCCTAAGCCTCAAAACTACTGAGCAGATCAGATCACTGTCCCACACCCACCAAAGACACGGTTAAAAAATACTATCCCGTGCTAATAAACCCCTTCCACCTCACACGTGCCGACGTGCGCAGTGGTGCGTTACTGCGTCCATTGCCGTGGGCCCCAGAAGACCAGGCGCGCGCTCCTCACCTCTTTCGTCTCCGCTGTCAGCTGCCCAAAAGCCAAACCCACGTCCTCCGCGCCGCAGTCTCCGATTGATCGATCTCTTCGGGGGATTCAGGAGAGGAGGAGGAGGCCAGGTTCCCGCCCCGCATTCGCACGCCGATCGATTCCGGATCTTAGCTCGAGAGCCTGGCGGCCCCTTCTCGGTGCTCGTCGCGGGATTTCCGGTGAGAGTACTGTTCTCGCGGCGGCGTCCCACGGGATCGCGCCTGCCTTCCTCCTCTATTCTCTTTTTTTTGGCCGGCTCTTGGAATTTGGTTGGAGAATCGGGGTTTTGTCCCCACCTAAATTGTCACATTAGAGTGCTTGTGATGTTTGGGCTTTCGATTGGTTCCGTCTTAATCTTACGGATGATGAAGCAGTACAGTGCTCCTGGGATGGATTGTTTATTTTATTTTCTTCTGCTATATCTTCCGTTCCGTTGCTCACGCTAGTCCAACGCCAGTTATTCCTGCGTGAAGTATTTTGACACTATTACCTGATTTGTTCATCTGTTAACAGTCAACACTGAAAGGTTCACTTGGGCACGCAATATAATTTTTCCTTCTATTCTAGTCCGATGCACCTCTAGAGAATTCTGACTTTTGTGCCATATTTATCTACTGAGCATTCCTGGTTGATTCCATGTGTTTAATTTGTTTCAATCAACACTGCCTATCATCTTTATACAACATTGTTTTATTACACCTTATGATGTGTCTGAAATTTCTGTTATGTGTTTTTGTAACGTAAAATTGACACAAATGTGATTCTATATGCTTCAACCAAATGATTTGTTTGCCTACCTTTACTCATCTGAGTTACAGGCTTACAGCACCTAAGTGATATTTCTCTGATTTAAAGCAAACTAGACTTAGTGGATCCTTTGAGATATGAGATATCAATTTGACAGATTGATTCTTAGACCTTGATTAAAGTTTGAACAATTATTTATTTGACTTTGGTATACCTTGCTGACATTATATTTCCTGGATATATCAGCTGTATTATGGCATCATTTTTTTTGTTTCCATTTTTGATACATTTCTGAATTCTGATGTATTTACAGATCAGAAATCCTTTGTTTGCCTTTCTGTGTGATTTGAAATGTCTGTGAATGTTCACGCTCTTCGTCACTTCAAATATCCTGTAGTTTGTAAAATTCTTTTGTTGATATTTATGGTCAGATGAATTTAATATATAATTGCTTCAGTGAATGTTAACCTGTTTGCAGGGTTAGTCCAAAGAAATAAGAAACATGGTACAGACTCATGTTGATGAGCAACCAAAGGGTGTGCCTCAGAATCGTCCACCTGCACATATGAATGGCGATGAAGTGAGATACTCCTTCCTTTATTCATATAAAAGCTACTGCCACACCATATTATGTTGATTTTATGAAAACTCAATAATTTAATCAGTCACAATTGTGTTTGCCATTAACAATCCAATTTTTATTTACATAAGTATACAATGCTTAATTTTATGGGTTGATGTATGATCAATCTGGGCATATAATTTTGAATGATTATTTTACCCATATCTTTATTTTCATGATTCCAGTTAGCTCTATTAACTCATAATTTGAATGGTTCTATCAACCACCTGTAAAAAGAATATGAGTACTATTCATCTGTATTCCTGACTTATTAAAATCTCCCATTGTATTTTGGGTTCAAATGGGGTATTCTTTGATGTCAGGAAAAGGTTTATCCTGGCCAACTCCCAGTGTTGACCTGGGAACATAAGCTAACTCATGTTAGACATGATTTGCCGTCATTCAGACTTACATGGAGAGAGACAATGCAGCTGGTACTTCTTCTACGTTGCATAGCATAGCCTTTTCTTCCACTGCCCCCCCCCCCCCCCAACACACACACACACACACATAATCTTCATTTTACCGTTGCAGGCTGGTCTTGGTTTACGTCTCAGTCGACATATCGTTGAGGAAACTTCAAAAGGGCGAGTATGTTTCATTATTTTCACATGTTCATGGATAATAACAAATTATCATGTGGAAAACTGATATGTTCCACATGCTTCAGTTTTCACTTGGATACCATGTAAGTTCTAGCTTCGTTAGTTTTCTACAGATTGCTGTTATTGATCCTATGAAAAAGCGGGCTGCAAGATCTGGTCAGGGTGTCCCACTTGGTGGTATTGGGTATATCTTCTTCTCTTTACGTAATATGTGTTTACTGTAAATATTGAGTGTATATTCATCATACTTTATATTATAAGATCTTCCAGGAAACTTATGTTCACCAGATTTAGGGTGCTCTTACTGCTTGATACTGTAAAGAGCTTGCAAGATTTCCTATGCGTCACTTTGTTGCTAAACATGTTTGTATAGCATTTCGTAGTTCAAGTGCCATGAAGAAAGAATAAGCATATTGTATTTACTTTATTGTTTCACTTGAAATGACACGAAGCTACCTACATTAATTCTCACTTGCCACCTTAAACACTACGCTGGTAAATCAAAGGTCGCTCTCAGCAACTCAGCCATCCGTTTTATTATTTCCCTGTTAGGTAGTGGGGTCAGGGGTGTCACCACACTGAAATATGCAGGAGTGTGTGCCCTACTGGGCGAAAGGGAGATATAAAAAACAGTTTCAAGTAGTGCATGCCCTAAAAATGTTTTCCTCTTGTTTGATGAAGCTTGTTGCCATATTTATGTATTTTCCTGATTGTTGGAAGTGTAGTGCAGGAAGTATTGGAAGAAGCTACAAAGGTGATTTCCAACGCTGGCAATTGTTTCCAGGAACTTGTGAAGATAAACCTGTATTGGCAAATCAATTTTCTGTAAGTCTTTAGTTTTCTCCACTTTCTTTCTGGCTGATAAATGTGTTCTTTTGTGTCTGATGATTCTTGGAATTTGAGATACTCTTTTCTAATGCAATCTCACTTTGTACTGGCTTAATGTCCTGAGGTGCTGATGCACCTTGTCAGACTTTTCGTGCTTTAATTAATGAACTATGGTGTGTTTTGATGCTTCTCAAGCTCTTATCTGCTGGATTAACCCATGCATTAGCTGATGAGAACTGCGATAAGAATTTTAAATACAGTGTTTGCTGTTTGTTTGATATTTAAGTGTTGTCCATTTAGGCCTTCATTTCCCGCCAAGATGGTAGAAAATATTCCACAGTGTTACATCCTGGGAAACCAGATTTGCTGAAGTAAGCACACATGATGTTTACTCCATTAGTTTCCTTTATAACAGGGAATAGTTTTGATTTTTTTGAGTACTTGAAAAATTTCTTAGAGCTTTTTAAATGCAGAGGAAGTGACATTTCAGGAATTGGATCCTGGGACTGGAATATGAGTGGACAACAATCTACTTACCATGCCCTTTACCCTAGGGCCTGGACAGTATATGATGGTATTACAATAACTACAGAATTCTCTTTTGGTTAACATACTTCTATCTTTGTCTCATTTTGGATTGTGCTTGTTAGGAGAACCTGATCCTGAGCTCAATATAGTGTGCCGTCAGATTTCTCCAATTATTCCACACAATTATCAACAGAGCAGCTATCCAGTTGCAGTATTCACTTTTACAGTAATACTACATACATTAAATTCCTTCAAACTACTATTTCACCTGTTCTTAACTTTATGATATAGCTCCACACCTGTGGCAATCACGTAAAAAAATTTCAGGTAACAAACTCAGGACATACAGCTGCTGATGTGACTTTGCTTTTTACATGGGCTGTAAGTTTCAGTAATGTTTTTTTTTTGTGAACAGATATTTCATAACTTTTATCATTATTGAATACTTACATTTTGTATCCCTTTTTCTCTGAACCTTCTTGCCTTATGTTTGTACATGCAGAACTCTGTTGGTGGAAAATCTGAACTCACTGGATATCATTCCAACTCTAGTATGATGTAAGAAAACAATAAGTATAAATTTTTAGCTGGTTTTCGAGCTTTTCTTGAATAAATAAGTTGTCGGGTTATATTTTTAATATGTCCTAATGGATGTCAGAGAAAAGGATGGTGTTCATGGCATACTATTACATCACAGGTAACTAAATTTTTCTATTTTTTTCCTTATAAAACATGTTGTCTCCTAGGAGTTAGATATATGGTTAAACTGAACTCAGCCAAGGGCAATTTTCTAATTCTAAATATCTTAAATGTCATGTATCTGAGAGCAGAACAGCAGATGGTCAACCACCTGTAACTTTTGTGATAGCAGCACAGGAGAAAGAGGATATCCTTATCTCTGAATGTCCTTACTTTGTGATATCTGGGAGCTCTGCATCTGATGAATTCACAGCTAAAGATATGTGGAATTCTGTGAAAGAGGTTGGTTGAAGCTGGAAGCACTCTGAAATAACAAGGCATTTCCTATTATAAGATAAGATGATGAAGAGACTAGTTGCATTTGTATGCTGAGTTTACATTCCTGCCTCATTGGTGAAACTATCACCTTTATGCAGTTGCACATGTAGCTGATCATCAGTTTATTTTATAACAAGAACCACAGTTCTCATTTAGGCAGCATTTCATTGTTGTTCTATGTTGCTTCTTATGCACTGCATGCCAGATAGTGGATGGTACCAGACAGTGCATTCCTGTGTCAATCTTTTGAAAGTCGTTTATGTTTGAATTCTGAGTTTGTCACTTATTTTGTAGAATATGTAATGGATCAGACAACTCAAAATATTCCAAACTGCTGAAAAGTGGAAACATTGGTAGTTGGCTCAAAATTTTAATGTTTAATTGTGTACCGGCCATATAAATATAATCTTGGAATACGCCTATTGTGGGTTAGTGAAAGTTGTTTCTGAGATGGTAGATAGGTTGAATGAGCCTTTTCCTAATGTCATGCACAAGTGTAAAGATTGAATGAAATCTTTACTTATGAATTGTAGTTGGGGTATGTAAAAGTCAACAGGCTAGCTAAAATTGGGACGGACTCTCTGGTGCAAAGATATTTCATTTTCTGACTCGGAAAATTTCATCTTAGGTTTACCTTCATGATTACCTACATTCTGATTAAAGTGATGCCAAATACTCTGCTTCAGCTTTAGCTTCAGGGCTTGTATACATTGCTTTGGTTCAATGTGTCAAATATTCTACCACCGTATCCAGTTTAATTTCTGGTAAAATATTCTACCCATCGTGGCAGCATGGATCTTTTGATCATCTTGATCCCATCAAGACATCGATGTGCTCCAGACCAGGATCATCAATAGGGGCAGCTATTGCTGCTTCAGTTAAGCTGGCTCCCAAGGCAACCCAGGATATTTCATTTTCACTTGCATGGGCTTGTCCTGAAGTGAAGTTCTCTAGTGGGAAAACCTATCATAGGTTAGAACAGCACAATTTCCAGTAATGAACAAAACAGTAGTGCAACTGAAACTAACCTCGTTCCATGATTTTCAGGCGTTACACCAAATTTTATGGCACAGATGGTGATGCAGCAGCAGCCCTTGCTCATGATGCCATTCTTGGTATAGTCCACTTCCTCACTATAATTCTATTTAATGCACTCCTTTCTTACTTCAGTGTGCGCCATACACCCATACTACAATAATCCACTTTACATGAACTCAGCATGTTTCTGAAATATTCTAACAACTGGACAGTATGGGTCTTAATGATAAATTATTTTCACTAACTATTTTTAATACTAATAATTTTACATAAGTATTTGAAAAGAATTAAATTAATATTTCCATGTGCAAGCTTTGTTATCAATTAGGAAAACTGAGTGGTTCCCTGTAAAGTTGCTAACTGTGGAGATTCCTTGTGATTCCTCCCCTGATTACTGCCACACTGGTATCATCCAATTAATTTTACCGTGTATCTTCCAATTAATTTTACGGTGTATCATCCAATTAATTTTACCGTGTCCAAACTTATTTCATGAAAGACTAGTTCATTTCTCTTTTTCTGTTATACACCCATTGACACAGTATAGACTAATTTTTTGCTGACAATGTCATCACCAACGAGGTCCTTGTATCTGAAAGGGGAACAGCCTGGATTGGACTCTTCTCTTTTGTAGTCATATTTCTTCCTATTAACATTTGTTGCTGACTTCTTTTGTATGCTTAATAAATTATAGAGCATGCTTCCTGGGAGAGGCAAATCGAGGAGTGGCAGAATCCTATTTTACAAGATGAGAGGTTTCCTGCTTGGTTTGTTCCAACCTTAATAATTCATTTACTTGGTACACAAGATCTGAGGCTACTGAATGTCGATTTATAGCATGAACTTTCTTCGACAGGTATCCAGTTACACTTTTCAATGAACTCTACTATCTTAATGCTGGAGGAACTATATGGACAGGTATGCATCCATAATTTCTTTTTTTTTTCCCTCTAAATGAAGCAAATTACTTTTCCTGAGAATTAACTCAGAGACATTATCAGATGGATTGCCACCAATTCAAAGCTTGACAGCAATTGGCTGGAAAAAGTTTTCTCTTGACATGTTAAATGGTGAATCTGATGATTTCAATGAGATGGTTCGACAGAATAATACTGCTTCTGATATTCTTCATCGAATGGCATCAGTATTTGAGAGGATGCATGCATCTATTGCATCAAATTCTGCTATAGGAACAACTTTGCTTCAGGGTGAAGAGAACATTGGCCAGTTTCTATACCTCGAGGGCATCGAGTATTATATGTGGAACACGTATGATGTTCATTTTTATGCATCATTTTCACTGATCATGTTGTTTCCAAAACTCCAACTTAGCGTCCAGAGAGACTTTGCTGCCGCTGTTATGATGCATGATCCTGAAAAGCTCAGGATCTTGCATGATGGAAAATGGGCTGCAAGAAAAGTGCTCGGCGCTGTTCCTCATGATCTTGGGTTATATGACCCATGGTTCAAAGTGAATGCGTACACGCTCTATAATACAGATCGATGGAAAGATTTGAATCCAAAGTATGTGCTGCAAGTTTATAGAGATGTTGTGGCCACAGGCGACAAATCCTTTGCTCGAGCTGTTTGGCCATCAGTTTATATAGCAATGGCATATATGGAGCAATTTGACAAGGATAAAGATGGAATGATAGAAAATGAGGATTTCCCAGATCAAACGTATGACGTGTGGTCGATGGCTGGTATAAGTGCATACTGTGGTGGTCTTTGGGTGGCTGCTCTTCAGGCAGCATCGGCCTTGGCACGTGAGGTTGGTGACAAAGCTTCTGAAAAGCTTTTTTGGGACAAATATGAGAAGGCCAAGTCTGTCTATAGCAAGCTGTGGAATGGTTCTTACTTCAGCTATGATGATGGCGACAACAAAGTTAGCACATCTATCCAAGCAGATCAATTGGCTGGACAATGGTATATATCACTAATATATGTTAATTCTTCTTAAATTTTAAATGTTGTCTAATATGATAAATAGATACAACTTTACCCCTTAACACATTACATGAATCGCTAACAGTTTTCAGTTTCGATCATCGATTGACATACGTAATAAATATTCGTGAAATTCTTGGATGAAGACGAGTTGAAACATGGACAGTTGCTGCCAATTTTCTAGGAAATACATTTTTTTTCTCCATTCAGTATGTTTATTACGTGTTTGTGTAAATATTTGTGGAAACTAATATGTAAAATCAACTCCTTTTTATCATTGCTATTAGTAACTTCTAAAATGCCTATACTATAACTGCTCGTTCGTGCAATCAACTTATGGCTTAGCAAACAGAAGCGTTTAAGTAGAATAAAGCATACAATAGCAGAGTACTTGTTTAGCAGAGTCTTGTATCTGAATGACAGTGAGCTCCAGTTCCAGCAGTAGACAACTTTATATGAAGTCAAGATTGTGCACAACATTATGCTTCCATGATTGGTTTTTCCATCACAAAATTTTGAATGTTATCTTTGAATCAAATAGCATAATGAAGTTCTGCTAAACTTACCTTGTTTACTAATGAATTTGATGCTGGGCTGTTACTTTTTCCAGGTATGCCAAAGCCTGTGGTCTCTTCCCAATTGTTGACAAAGATAAGGCACAAAGTGCGCTAGAGAAGATATTTTCTTTCAATGTCATGAAGTTCAAAGATGGTACAAGGGGAGCTATGAATGGGATGTGGCCAGATGGCACTGTGGACATGTCTGCAATGCAGTCTAGGGAGATATGGCCAGGGGTGACATATGCACTAGCTGCAAGCATGATTCAAGAAGGCATGGTTGAGCAGGGATTTAAAACAGCTGAAGGGATCTATCATGCTGCCTGGTCTCCAGAAGGACTTGGGTGAGTATGTGCATATAAATTGAGGTTTGATGTTTTTCGCTGTCAACAGGTGTGTATGTTTGGACGTGGTATAACATCTGAGATATAGAACTTTACCTGAGCGGCTGAGCCTAGTTATGTAATATAGCGCTATGGACTTAGTTATAAGAATGCATTAACTTTGGGGATAGAGAGTTCGTTCCTAAATCTGTATCTTCTGAAGTTTTTATAATGTAATAAAACCAGTAAGACATGTAGTGAATAAAGGATGGAGATCTCCCTACACCTACCTGGTTTTTTTTTTTTCTGAACTTTAATTTTGTACACTAAAAGACTTGCTCTTTTTTCTCTGAATACAATCCACAGAAACATATAATCAGAAGTTAATGTATACCACTAATTCCGCTCAATTTAGATTTATATTTTGTATAATGGATAGTGCCTGCTAGTGCTGCCTTTCTTATGCTATTAAGGAAACCTGACAATTTGATTTCCTCAGATACTCATTCCAAACTCCTGAAGCCTGGAACAACGACGACGAGTACAGGTCCTTGTGCTACATGCGCCCGCTCGCCATATGGGCAATGCAATGGGCACTCTCGAACCCGAAGCTCCACAACACTCCTCAGGCAGACATACCCCAGGATTCATTCCCCAAGAACCAGTTCGCCTACGCGCGGATCACAAAGCTCCTGCAGCTGCCTGAAGACGAATCGTCCAAGAGCTTCCTCCGAGTGGTGTACGAGATCATCAGGAACAGGTTTAGGTCCTGAATCGCCTCCGCGCGCCTGCCTGTGCGCTGAGTGTCCGAATTGTTGATGAAACATTCATTGGTCATTGCCGTTTGTAAACATTGTTGCCGTTGGATACCGCAAATTCGTACATAATCAGTCGTAATAAACATGTGAAGTGTGGTCGTTTGCATATAAATAAATACTATATATGAGCTGTTATGAGTTATGACGGAGACATCTCTCCCTCAGACCTCAGCCGTGCGAACTGTTCTCGCGCTGTCTTTGTCACCCAAAGCGCCGGTTTGTTTATTTCTTTTCAGTTTTCGAAAAATTTATACATCCACAGTTGCATTGAGCAAATCATCCGAAAACGGGTGGGCTGGGCTCCACTTCGGTGCTTCGGCTAGGAAATTTCAACCAGCATGGGCTGCTGCCTACTAGTTGGGCCAAGGTGGGTAACTGCGATATGACGTGGGTAGGAAATTGCAACGAGCTTCCACTGAAACAAAAAAACAAAATTATTGCAACGACCATGAGCTGTTGCCTACTAATTGGGCCAAGGTGGTAACTGCGGTACGATGGTCCAACGTGGATGGAAGGATTCCCACATCGTTCTGGATTTTTTTTTTTGAAATTCCTTTTTTGCAAAATATTTGTCTAAATAAAAATTTGCAAAACTATACAGCTGGTTGAGTTGGCAGAATATTCGTTACGCCAGTTCAATTCAACGGACGAACATGTCCCTGTCTTCACGCACGCACGTGACGTAATTCTATCCACAGCGACAGTCGACAGTCGACAGGTGGCCCAGGGAATGTGCGTGCTCTTCTCGAACTCCATTAAAAAAAACAAAGAATGAAACCTTTGAAATGGCTGTCACATCACACGCGGACGGCGTCGTACGAACCAGGCAAATTAAAACCAGATAGGACTGCGTCAGCCGGCGAGCCGGCCAGCTTCCGGTTCCGGCCGGCCGGATCAAAATACAGGAGCTGCGGCTGCTACTCCTTCTCCCTTCTCCCTCGACGGCCTGGTAGCTTAGGACAAGTCTTGCGTTGTTTCAGTCGTCGATCGGCGCCTGAATGCAGATGCAGATCAGCAGATGAAATGCATGGCTGCGTAAATACGTACGCAGACAGGCACAGGACTTGACGAATTCACAAGACATGCATCAAGACGTACGTACATGCTAAAATTTTCAGCTGGTTTTGATTCTTCAGTATAGCTATACTTGCTCCTGCAGCATGCTGCTGGCTGCTGCCATGTGAACGAAGAATTTTTTGTGCGTTTGTCTAGAAGGAAAATTTCACCCTTGGGCACTCATCAGTTGGAGTAGTTCTATGAAATGGTGTGGCGCACAGTGCCAAATTCTTAGTTTCGTATTATTTTGGACAATATTAGCAAGCTATTTTCCTAGTTTGACAACAAGTTCCCGCTCAAAACTCCGTCGGATGTTCCTTTAGCAAAGCACAGGATATTCTTTTAGTTTCCATATAAATAATGTACACGTGAAAACGAGAGGACCGTCAAGGCACCGCCAATAAGATAGTCTGTCATCTACTCCGTAGGTACATAGAGAGATCCATGCTATTCTTTGCCCTACATGTGGAGAGTTAAAGAAGAAAGAAAAGATTGCCAACTACTAGCTAACTAGTAGTTTATTATAGAATCTAAGATGCAAGTGGAATTTAATGTAGAAGTTAGTTGAGCATGCTATAAGACGCTACAATTAATACATTGAAGGGGTTTGTAACATTCCAAATATCATTAGAGAGAATTATTTGCTTGGCGTACAAAAGCTCCACTTTCTTTCTTGGCCGTTTTAGTTTTGAAGATACTTATTTAGCTTGAAATACAAACTTTGATTCCTTATTTGGCCCTTCCATTAGATTTGGCCAGTAACTGTGTTAGGGGGGTTAATTGACGCTTCAACCCATGGGCTAGAGAGTGCAGAGTTTAGTTTTGATATATTTCATTTTGAGAATTATTTAGACTATTTTCGCATGCTTTTAGGTCATCTTAATTGCACAAAACAAGGTGCACCTAAACATGGAAGTATATTTTTCTATATTTGCACAAGCCAATCAATTAAACAATAAGATGCATACAACACAGTTACCTTCACAAATGCACAAATCCATGCATTGGGTTAAAAGTGTCAATTAATGCCCCCCCTTAACACCGTTAGTGGTCAAATCTAACAGAAGGGCTAAATAAGGAACCAAAGTTGTATTTTGAGCCAAATAGGTAACTTCAAAACTAAAAGGGCCAAGGAAGGAAGCAGAACTTTTTTAGGGCCAAGAAAATAATTCTCTCATATTAATAAACATGTCATGGAGCATACATGTGCATCATCTCTAGCATCCATGTAAATTTTTTAGAATGGTTTGAATACTTTTGAAGATAATCTTAAAAACCTTGTTTTTGGTATGCGCTTATGATGGGAGTTTGAATTTCATCATAGCCTATATGCTATTGAATCATATGACAAAAATACTAATTTATCAATAATGAATTTAGATAAAGGGGGATTCAGCATTTGCTTTAATAATGAGACCCTGGCAAGAATCTAGTAGCTGTTATGTTTGAGTTGGTATGGCTTCCGAACAGATAAGTCCTCCTTTTTTTTTGAAATTCAGATAAGTCCTCCCTACAGACGCAACCAACTAGACTTTTCTGAACTAAATTGAATTATTCTTTCCTTATACCACTTCCTTTGACTAAGTAGATCATAATATATGACTTGTCAAGAAAAAGATTTGATATGTGGAAATTAGAAGATAAAACATATAAACTATCCCATATATATAATGATCATTACCTGCTTTTATACAAAAACCATAGTATTTTTTTAACAAAGAAAAAGTAATATTTCCATTCCTAAGTTTCAGTTTTCACGTGCCATTATTATAATATTTCTAAAAATTAAACAAATACATATCATTCCAAAATTCTAATTAGCCTGCTAGTGCAATTTTGAAAATTGACAGCGGCAACAGACATTCAATATGCACCGTTTGGATTAGGTAAATGACGTTAACCCATATGCATTCCAATTACCAAGTCATTTAGTTTTCATATATCAGAAAGTTTCAATCTGGGTTTTTTTTTTTGCAATTTCGATCTAAATTATCATGTATACAAATTACAGCCTATTGTTTGAGTTAGTGGAGATTAAATATTACATTCTTCTAGAAGACAATGAAGGTGACAGGTCACGTCATGTTTTACCAATAGCCCAACATGTACTCCTAGTAGAGAAATAAACCATAATTAATAGTCTCCGACCCCAGTGTTTGAGTTGGTATGGCTTTACACAGTGCCGTGCATGCAGCAGGACTAAAGATGGCAGCGGACGTGATGCCCGCGGATACTATCTTCTTATGCCCGCGCCCGCCAGCTAAATCTCTTGTCCGTGCCCGCGCCCGCGACCCGCCACGGGCAACAAACCACGCCCACGCCCTCCATCCGCGGGCATGAAATGCCCGCGGGCATGCCCGTGTGCCCGCCAGTTCATGCCCGCGGGCATGCCCGTGTGCCCACCAGGTTGAGCATATACATAAACCATAGTGCATTACAAGAGATATGAAGATACATATTCACAACAAATCGTGTATATATACATATATTTGCTTGTAGGTCCCACATGTTAGACATGTGGAGCGGGTCTGGCGGATAAGCGGGCGAGGATAGCAAATTTCTTTGCCCGCGAAGAACTATCCTCTGAGTTCAGGATGGTGCCCGCGCCCGTGCCCGCGGGCAAGAAGTGGTGCCCATATCCTTGCCCATTGGGTTCCATGCCCGCGGGTATGCGGGCATTCTGTGCCCGTTGCCATCTTTAAGCAGGACCATAGCCAACCAACAAGACTTTTTCCTAACCCAAATAAAACCATTCTTGACTTAGCATTTTTGGCCTCTGTGTTTAGTATTTTTCTATAACACCTGCCATTTTGTCACCCGCTATCTACTTCAACATTTAGAAGCTAGTAAGAGCATCTCCAAGAGTTTTTAAAACCCACTCCCAATATCTTGACTTGTTGGCAAGATTGAAAAAACCTTTTCTCAACAACTCTTTATGTCAACTCTCAATCTTTCTGCATTTGGGAAAATCGTTCGAATCGCGCGGAAAGATATGCGCACCTTTCCAATTGGCCAATCAAGAGGTGAGAAGGACATGGGGAAGAATAAGAAAAAGGGACAAAGTTCCTAATGCAAATATATAAGATAAAAATAAAATATACTCTATCTGTTTTTGAATTATAAGTCGCTTTGACTTTTTTTATACATCAATTTTACTATGTATCTAGATATAATATATGCCTAGATACATAGCAAAATCCATATATAAAAAAAAATCAAAGTGACTTATAATTTGGAATGGAGGGAGTAGATGTGATTAGGGTAACTTGAAAATAGTGTGGGATTTTTTATGCAAAATAGCTTTCTAGCTTTTAGGAGCAAGTTATTGAAAACGATTGGTAAAAGACAAAACATATGCTCTGTAGTTTTTTAGCGACTTCTAAAACTCATTGATTTATCAATTGTTTTTAACTATTGGAAAGGGCATTAGCTACTACACATCCCCTGAATTGATCCACCTTGCCAGATGGTGCAAAAGCAAATTTCTTATTGGTCAGATCAGACGATAAAGGATCGAGCACGATACCGGGTGCACGGCCGTCCGGATTAAGTAAACGAAAATCCCCGGTGACAATATTAAAAACACATATGTACAGCCCAGACCAGATGATCTGGTCACTGCATTGACCGGTCAGCATCAGTGACCCAGCCCTTGCTTGTCCTCATCGTCTCGCCCACTTCTCCTGCTCCATTTCCTGATTCCTTCGTATAAAAACTCACCTCTCCTGCCCGTGGCCTCCCATCGATCGTCTTCGTCTCCCTCCCTCGCTTGCTGAAGAACCAGCAAACCAGTTTATTTGACCATCCAGCAGCCGAGCATATACCGTCCATCTCCCCGGCCGGCGACCCGCGACATGCTGCTGCACACCGTCCGGTTCCTCTGCTCCGTCGTCGCCGCC